TTTTCATTTGTGGGGACATTTAAAATCTATTGTATACGCAACGTCGATTGAACATGCTGAAATACTACGAAATAGAATAGAGCAAGGCTTCCGACAAATTCGAGAAACACCAGAAACGATAGAGAGAGTAAACAGATGAATGACAAGACGCGTGGCAGGCTTGTCTTCATATGCAAGGTAGTCATTTCGAGCATGTTCTGTAAAAATTCATTATATCTCATAAACGAAGACAGATAGAGCACATATTTATATGACTTGTTTTCATTATTTTTCATTATTTTCATTATTTTTTAGGCGTACAAAAGGGTCCCACAAGTTACAAAACACCCTGTATAAATGTACAACGGAAATAAATATATTACTTGCGAATGATCGAGCCAGCGTGAATGATGGTGGTGAAAGTTCTATCAGTTTGAGGCTCTAGCGCGACACTGGCTAGATGGAAATGCGTTTATCGTCCATCCAGCCGAGCGTCTGACAGGGAACTTCGACTCCCATTGTTTTCAACTTTCAAGCAATTTATATCCTCTCGCGTTAGAGCTGTTCGTTCCTCCTCATTCTTGTTTCTTCGCAGTCTGAAGCAAACAGAAAACTAATTAGCTTGTACTGTGTAAAGGTGCGAGATTCGATTGAGAAGTGTCGTTCGTTCGCAGCGAATATCGAGGGAAGGAGAAAAATTATAAAGTGCCGTGACAACTCTGTAACAAGACTCTGGCTAGAAGTATAGCGATCTACTAGTAGATTCAGCCTCTCGATGGTCATGCCGACCACCTTTACGTTTCACGAATGATAATCAATTCCTTTTCATTAATCTTTTGTTTCGATCATCGATTAAAATATTATTATGACTTTGATCGTTTTCGCTATCTATTCACTTCGACGTCAAGATAAATAAATGTATCGTCAGTGTTAGATACACTCGGAGAAATTTACTATTTATTTAATCAAACTAACGAGCCCCTCCTCTTCGTTCCCTTTCTTTCAACCGAGTGACAATGCCCCGGTAGCCGCGACGACAACGTACACCCCTAGTTGCTCCAGTTTTTCCCCCTTTTGCTGTCATCGTCAGCCAGCGAGCGAGGCGCGTGAAAAGACGGGAATGACGAGAATACGAAGTTTTTTTCCATTGCAGAGGCCGTTGGTAACTTGGCCAGCCTCTTCTTGCTGGTTCGCACGTCGTGACTCGGCCGGAGCAGTCCGATATTAGAAAGATGACGTATCGTCATCGTATTGTGAGCCGTGGCACGTTGAAAAGGAGCCTCGTGGGAAGAAGCGGCGGGGAGGGAAAGGTCGAGAGTTCCTTTTGAAATCAGACTCCGGCAGTAGGTGTCTCCGCCGTAACGCGCGCGATATATTATTCGAGCGCGTAACAGCGACGAAACCGCAGCAGTCCCGCCGCGGCGTAAAGATGCATTAATCCCTTGACAGGCCGCGCGCCTCGTGGAAAATGCCTTTCCAGCGGAAACGCGAAAACACGCGCCGCCTGCGCTCCCACCCCATCGCGCTCGCGAAAATTTATTTTCGCCGGGGTCTGGCACTCCGGCTCATTTTTTATTCGACGCGGCCGCGTCGTTGAAAATTGACCCCGACTCTCGCGAGAAATATTAACGCCCTTCCTCTTTAAGGGGTGACTGTCACTGTATCGTCACCTGCTAGAAAAAAAAAATATATATATATAGTATAGTATAGTATAGTATAATATAGTATAGTATAGTATAGTAAGGTATACTATATATAAGTAAGGTTACTATATATATATATATATACAGTAATGAAATTGTTATACCATACTGTATATATAGTAACAAAATTGATATACTATACTATACTATACTATATATACATATATAGTAACGAAAATTGATTACTTACGGATACACCTAATATTATGATTATTTAAAATATTATTATATATATATTAAATTAAAGTTATAATTATAATTAAAATTAAAATATTATTTTATATATATTATTTATATTATTTATATTATAAAATTAAAATATTATTATATATTATTTATATATATATATATATATATATATATATATATATATATATAGTAACGAAAGTTAATTACTTACGGATACACCTAATATTATTATTATTATATATATATATATATATATATATATATATATTATAAAATTGAAATATTATTCTATATATATAGTAACGAAAATTGATTACTTAGGGATACATCTATTATTATTATTATTATTATTATTATTTTTATATTATATAAATATTAATATTATATATATATATATATATGTTATAAAATTGAAATATTATATATACATATATATAGTAACTTATTATATATACAAATATATACTAACGAAAATTAATTACTTACGGATACACCTAATATTATTATTATTATTATTATTATATATACATATATTATAAAATTAAAATATTACTATATATATTACATATATATATATATATATATATATATATATAAAATTTGTTACTTATGGATACATCTAATATTATATACATATATATATATAATATATCTCCGAAAATCGACTCGACTCACTAAATAATATTGACACTTAATTCTTCACGCGTTGGACGTATTATTTATCATAACGTTGCGAATATATATATATATATATATATATATATACACATACCCTTTGAAAAATTCGCTCCTCTACTTCTTGAAATTGACCCGACTGGCGGCGAAAAATATGAACATTCCTGCCTTTAAGGAGGAGAGTAGCGTAATATCATCAGGAGCGAAGAGGAGTAATATTATCGTGACATCGTGAACTTTCTCTTCGAGGAATTCATCCTCCTTTCTCCCTCTGCTCTCTCACCCCCTCCCCCCTCCCCGTCCGCCACCCCTCGCGCGCCCACGAGCAGACAGAAATTGACTTAGGGTAAGAAGAAATAATGAAATTGCTCGCTTTAAGAGAAAGCCGGGGCTTGTAAGCTCCGCGAGACAAGCGAGTTCCAAGCGAGTCATCGTTAGGAAAGCAAATATAATTTTATTTCGAGGCGGAAATTCGTATATATATATATATATTCAGTCAGATAAAAAAGAATGGACCCCTTGCTAGAGTTATCCTCGCGAATCAATCGCAAATTCACGTGTACTTTAAGCATATTTAATCGTCAGAGACAAAGTGGTACAAACGTGCAAATAAATGACACATCTTTCTCTTTTTTTCCTGTTTTTTTTTTTTTTTACATTGGACTTCGAAGACGAATGCACCCTCGACTGCCGGTAATTTTCGCGTCCCATCCGAATTAAATGGAATATATTTTCAAATTAGCAGCTCAGTCGCGTAGCCACTCGTCTCGCCCTCGTAAACGGACGCTTTACGATACTCCTCTTGCGCAAAAATCCAATCGCGTCCGTATGGAAGCGGTAGCAACACGCACCTCCGACATAAAACGCGACGAAAGCGGTGTACGAGCAAGAGGGTGGAATTTCGCTTGTTTCTCTCTCTCTCTCTTTCTCTCTTTCTCTCTGTTTCTCTGTCTCTCTCTCAGAGCTCGGTAACGGTAATAAATTTTGCGAGTGTGCGGGAGTTGTGTTGCGCACAGGCGGCTCTCGAATCTCGCGCCCCCCTTCCTCCACGGAAATTACGCATGCGGAGGGGTGGCGTGCGTTTGTAACTTGCCAGCAGCTTGCTCTTTGGAGCGACCGTAGCTGTCGTGTCTCTGTCGATACGTGAAAACTTCGCTCGCTACTGAGACAATAATTCGAGGGCTACAATGGGAATCTCTGTGGCTCACCAACTAGCTCACGCAAGAATTCAAACTACATCTGGACTCTAAACACACTTGTTTCGACTTCTGTTCTGTGTATAAATAGATCGTCGTCTCGCGGCGTGAAGAAAAGACCAAGGTTCTCGCTCGCTGACACTGGAACGAGGCTCGTGCCAGGTGCCAAGATTCGCAATCCGTGTGGCGCGCGATAGCAGGTACGTATATCGAGCGTTATTTGAATTTTCGAATGAGAGAAATCACATGCTGAGAGGTAAATTCAGAGTGGACATGTCGCTGGTACCGAACACGACCCGCTGATAACTCTGGTGCAACATGTTCTTCAGTTGTTCCGCGTGTTCCCGGTCCCTGGTCTCGCAGACCACTTTCACGTCCACGCTGAAGATGTCCGACATAATCCAAGCCCGCTCGTGCATGATGTCCTTTATCGACACACCGATGCTGGCCAACATTCTACAGAGCTCGGCGATACCGCCCGGCCGATCGGACACGGTCACTGTAAACTTCAAAAGCCGGCCCTCCGCTGCCAGTCCACGCTCCAGACACCTGCCCAGGATCGTCGTGTCGATGTTCCCTCCGCAGAGAAGCAGCACCACTCTGTGAAAGGGAAAGACAGGAAAATGAACGTCGATTTAATTTTCGATTATCTACGTTGTCTTGTATCTGGTTAAGAATTGTAGAAAGAATAATATATAATAATTGTAAACAGTTGAATAACATAGTATCTCGAATATTATTAAAAGAAGAAATAATTGTAAAAGAGTTACATAATGTAGGAAAATTTAAAAAATATATAATTGTAAAAGGTTAAGTAATATAGGAAAATTGTAAAAAAAAATAATTGTAAGAAATTAAATAATATAGGAAAATTATTTAAAAAAATAATTACAAGGAGTTAAATAATATAAGAAAATTACTAAAAAATAATAATTATAAAAAGTTAAATAATATAGGAAAATTAAAAAAAAATAATTGTAAGAGGTTAAATAATATAGAAAAATTATAAAAAAGAAATAATTGTAAGAAGTTAGATAATATAGGAAAATTAAAAAAAAATAACTGTAAAAAGTTAAATAATATAAGAAAACTATAAAAAAAATAATTACAAGAAGTTAAATAATATAGGAAAATAATTAAAATATAATAAATAAATAAAATAAATAAATAATTAAAAAATAATAATTATAAAAAGTTAAATAATATAGGAAAATTATAAGAAAAAATAATATATAATTGTAAAAAGTTAAATAATATAGGAAAATTATAAGAAAAAATAATATATAATTGTAAAAAGTTAAATAATATAGGAAAATTATAAGAAAAAATAATATATAATTGTAAAAAGTTAAATAATATAGGAAAATTATAAGAAAAAATAATATATAATTGTAAAAAGTTAAATAATATAGGAAAATTATAAGAAAAAATAATATATAATTGTAAAAAGTTAAATAATATAGGAAAATTATTAAAAAAAATAATTGTAAAAGTTTTAATAATATAGCAAAATTATAAAAAAAATAATTGTAAGAAATTAAATAATATAGGAAAATTATAAAAAAAAAAATAATATATAATTGTTTTAAAAGTTAAATAACATAGAAATTGTTTTAAAAAGTTAAATAATATAGAAAAATTATTAAAAAAATAATATATAATTATAAAAATTTAAATAATAATAGGAAAATTAAAAAAGAAATAATTGTAAGAAGTTAAATATAAAAAAATTATAAAAAAGAAATAATTGTAAGAAGTTAGAGAATATAGGAAAATTTAAAAAAAATAATATGTAAAAATATAATTAATATAGGAGGAACAACGAAACTAGCTAGTTCAACAATCCTCGTGCCTTTTGCCTTTGAGCTCCTCCAGCTGACCGGCCAAAATGGCGGCCAGGCCGGTGGCGCCAGCTCCCTCGACGATGCATTTCTCGTTCTCGACCAGCTTCAAGATCGCGATCGCTATCCATTCCTCTTTCACCACGACCAGCTTGTCGACCAACGGATTCGCGGTGGCGAAAGCATTATAGCCCACCATTGGTACAGCCAGGCCGTCCGCCAAAGTCGAATCTATGACAGTCTGGATCGGTCGGTCTGCTTTCCGCGCCATGTAGAAACTCGGACACCTTTCCGACTCGACGCCCTGAGAAACCGACGAGGGAACGAGACGTTGATGAATGAAATCGGGAAGTACCATTTTTCTTTTTCTTTTTCTTTTTCTTTTTTTTCAAACCTTTGGCGACTTACGATGATCATCACGTTCGGATGGAGGGTCTTCACAGCTAGAGCTACACCAGCGATCAAACCACCGCCACCGATGGGAACGACCACCGCATCTATGTCGGGTACCTGCTCGACGATCTCGAGGCCCAGGGTACCTTGCCCTGCCATGATATCTGGGTGATCGTATCTGAAACGAGAGGGATTATTGGAAATTTTCACGCAATCGTTGTCGACTCGTTTTGGAGTAAATTTTCACTTTTAAGGTTTGGGTTAGGTTTGGGTTAGATTTGAGTTAGGTTTGGGTTAGGTTTCTCTTGCGAGACGAGAGAATTTTTATTTCCTGAAGCAACTCGTACTAGATTCAACCTTTAGCACTCCAAACTATTTTCCAATTTATTTTTTTTTTTTTTTTTTTTTTTTTGAGGTTGAGGCAATTTAAAAAATATCGAGTGTCACTCGACGTGAGAGTTATTGTGATAAAAATGTATGTCAAGTCACACTCGACAAAGGAGTGCAAAAGGTTGAATTAAACTCTCGATATACGGTGACTTCAAAATGCAGTAGTGCCCTGATAAGCCACAGTCGGGACCAAAAAGTCGGACGCTTAAGAGGGGTGGTGTATTCTGCGAACTGGCACCGAAAGAAAGAGTCAATTGCTATACCTACGGCAGACACGTGCGGCGAATTCTAGTGTTTCTAGTAAGAAATTTAATATTTTAAGACTTTTTCTTTTTACTTGAATAGATTTAGACTACTTCAAACTGAATACATACATACTTTTATGAAACAATAAATACGTACATACTAAATGAAACAATAAACAACGTGAAACAATTTCTGAAGAGGTGACAGAGTGGATCAGTGAATATGGAGAAAGAATTAGAGAATTTTCTCATTCGCAGCTTCCAACAGAGGCAGAAGAAATTGACAGATTGTTACATTATCTACAAAGATTTGTTGCAACAAAATCAGAAGTTGCAAATCATACGATATCTACAATAGATTATTATAATTCAAAATAATTTTTATTTACTCTTTCCATTATTATTACTTTTTCCTGTAATATTTCTACTATCATTTATTCTCATTACTTATTCTTTTTATTACTCTAATTTGTAACTATTACTGTAACTATTAATGTATGAAAACATTAACAATGCATGCATTAAGGAAATATAATCAATGTGATTTAGTACAATTATTAATGTATGTATTCAACTGCTTGTAATACTTGTGAAAATAAAGCAATCACTAAAGCAAGCACTACTAGTATTTGTCATTTCAAGTAAAATTTGCCTAACATTGATCGATCTATCCGAGACTTCCGATAGTGATGTGCCGAAATATCGATATATTGCTTATTTCGTTACGTTTCACGCGTACAGCAAGCGTTCCTAAAATTGGTAAAAAATAAAAACGCCTAAAATGGCAAGAGCGTGGACGCTACTTTGTATCGTGTAGCCACGTTTCGTCGGAACGCGCGTCCAACCGTGATCTAAGTGGCATCGACGCGAAATAGATTTTTTTAATATCGTAAGAAGACCAGTCGCCGGACAACGGTCTTCTTACGGCGCTGAAAGCGAGAAGGAAGCGCAGCAAAGCTTTCTCCCATTCACGTACGTTCCACGGCACGTTCATCAATAACACACGCGTCAAATTTTCTTTCGCCTCTTCGCTGGCCTGGCTGTCGGCGGACTGAACACCAGCAAATAACAAAGTGTTATCTCATCGGAAAATAGAATATGCCCCTACCCATTTATATACGTCAGCCCTTTCTCCTTCGCCTGACGGAGCGCGATACGCTTTGCCTCTCCCATATCGAGGCCATCGACGATCACGTTCGCGCCGTATTGACGACAGGCGGCGATCTTCATGATCGGCGCGAGCACCGGCATCACAACCGTCACCGGTATACCGAGCTTGTTCCCGTGATAGCAGAGGGCAAGCGCGTGGTTACCCAACGAGGCTGAGATCACGCCAATCCTCTTCTGCTCGTCCTCCAGCATCAGCAGAGCGTACCTCGCACCCCTCTCCTTGAAGCTTCCGGTCGCTTGGAGGAAGTCCTTCTTCAGGTACAGGTCGATGCCGATCGCTTCCGACAGACGCGATTTCTGGCGGACAAACGGAGAAACTTTTAGAATCTTTCTTTCTTTCTTCGTTAACCATTTGTTAAATTAAACCTTCTTTTTTTCTGTCTTCGTCTACCAGCAATTTATTTACGAAGCATCGAATGAAACGATACGATTATTTGAATGGTGTTTAACCAGTTGCGCTGGCAACTGATTGCGGACCATAACGAGCGACCGAATCGTATATATACGAGAATTCGTCGCTTTCTTTTCCGGGACGCGATTTCTGACGGACAAACGGGGAAACTTTTATAATCTTTCTTTCTTTCTTCGTTAACCATTTGTTAAATTAAACCTTCTTTTTTTCTGTCTTCGTCTACCAGCAATTTATTTACGAAGCATCGAATGAAACGATACGATTATTTGAATAGTGTTTAACCAGTTGCGCTGGCAACTGATTGCGGACCATAACGAGCGACCGAATCGTATATACACGAGAATTCGTCGCTTTCTTTTCCGGGACGCGATTTCTGACAGACAAACGGGGAAACTTTTATAATCTTTCTTTCTTTTTTCGTTAACCCTTTGTTAAATTAAACCTTCTTTTTTTCTGTCTTCGTCTACCAGCAATTTATTTACGAAGCATCGAAAGAAACGATACGATTATTTGAATGGTGTTTAACCAGTTGCGCTGGCAACTGATTGCGGACCATAACGAGCGACCGAATCGTATATACACAAGAATTCGTCGCTTTCTTTTCCGGGACGCGATTTCTGACGGACAAACGGGGAAACTTTTATAATCTTTCTTTCTTTCTTCGTTAACCATTTGTTAAATTAAACCTTCTTTTTTTCTGTCTTCGTCTACCAGCAATTTATTTACGAAGCATCGAATGAAACGATACGATTATTTGAATAGTGTTTAACCAGTTGCGCTGGCAACTGATTGCGGACCATAACGAGCGACCGAATCGCATATATACGAGAATTCGTCGCTTTCTTTTCCGGGACGCGATTTCTGACGGACAAACGGGGAAACTTTTATAATCTTTCTTTCTTTCTTCGTTAACCATTTGTTAAATTAAACCTTCTTTTTTTCTGTCTTCGTCTACCAGCAATTTATTTACGAAGCATCGAATGAAACGATACGATTATTTGAATAGTGTTTAACCAGTTGCGCTGGCAACTGATTGCGGACCATAACGAGCGACCGAATCGTATATACACAAGAATTCGTCGCTTTCTTTTCCGGGACGCGATTTCTGACGGACAAACGGGGAAACTTTTATAATCTTTCTTTCTTTTTTCGTTAACCTTTTGTTAAACCTTCTTTTTTTCTGTCTTCGTCTACCAGCAATTTATTTACGAAGCATCGAATGAAACGATACGATTGTTCGAATGGTGTTTAACCAGTTGCGCGGACCATAACGAGCGACCGAACCGTATATACAAAAATTTGTCGCTTTCTTTTTGAACTCGTCGGTATGATATCACTGGATAGAAATTATCGATAGGTTATACTTAAAGTATTGCAATTTTGGGACAAAATGTTCTCGACCTTAATTTGACATATTAAATCTCGACCTTAATGTTCCGTCAGAACAATGTCTAGCTGCAATAGTTTCATTAAACAACTGATATAAATAGGTTCCCAAACTTTTTCTTGGCCATGCTCCACGTTCTAAAATCCTGATGCTTGTGAACAAATAATTCTCATCACTCAAACAATGAATTCTCGACTTTTGTGGAGGAAGCCTATGGAAGTTTGAACCATTAACTTGGTCTGGACAAGTTCCCAAAAAACGTGACATCCACGAAAGAAAAGAAATTACAAAGTGAAATTTTCATTTAAAGAACGTTCACTTGGTAACACACATTCTCGAAATCAAATTGCTCACCAATTGGGAACCACGGATGGTAGATGACGACATTAAACGATACTATAATATGACAGTATAGATGATTAAAGTAGAGATAAGCAAGTGAACGAACGAAAGCGAGAAGAACTCGTCTGTTCAGACGTTTCGTACACTCCGTAGGATGCCACTGGATAACAACAACAAAGTCACATTGAAATTTCGAATCGTACCACGCAAGGGGTGTTGATGATCCCGCATTTGATCTTGAACGCGGCGGATGTGACGTCCTCGAACGTGATCTTGTTGGGGCTCTCCTCGACGCAGTACGGGTCGGACAGCTCCTCCGGCGGGTTGCTCTGCGGACAGAAACGCAGGTTCCACACATTTCCTTTTCATCTCCGAGCGAGCCCGTTCGAATCGATCGAAACCGTGCAACCAAGAAAAGCGGGTGAACCATCTTCGAAGACAAGGTCGCGAATTTAAAATTAAATTCAATTATCGCTGACGCGACGATAATTACGTGAACGGTGGAAGAGTCGAGGTCGTTGTCCCCGGTGTGACCGTTGACTCGCTCCTCTCCGTTCGACTTCCGGTTCAGGTCCCTCATCGTCGGTAATCAAAATCGACTGCACGTTCGCCGATCGTTCGTGTTACTTATTGTGATCGTGAAAGACCGTGGACCGTGATTTCGCCTTATCGAAACGACTCACGACCTCCGGCCTTTATGCCACTTCGTAGCAGGGCATAAAGTCTCGTGATTCTCGTTCGCTTCTCGCTAATAATAATATTCCGCCGATAATCGAAGCGATTATGTGACGTCGCGCGACTGACTGGATGCACGGACTAGATCGACGAACTTTTGACTCTGATCGAAGAACGAACGAACGAACCATGTCTGACGTCTTGAGAACTTGCCGATTTTCTTCGAACTACGAGAAAAAGAGAGAGAGAGAGAGAGAGAGACGCGCTCGTCGAATGGCCAAAATCGACTGATCCTCCTCTTTGAGTTTTGGTCTCTTTTGTAGATAACCCGGGCTAGATAATCGTCCAGGAGATAACCAATCGGGAACGCTGTCTTGATCTTCATTTAAGAGTCGATATCTTCAAAACTCGAATACTGTTTCAAGGTCGACGGTAGTAATAATTGGAGATTTCTATCATTGCCTTTCGCATCCCAGAGATTTTACAATCGTTATCTGGGAATACAATCTTAATTAGTGTAGTCAATTACCGTGTAAAGCGATGACGAGAAATTCTGGAAGCCTTCGTCATACTTTCGAATTGATCTTGACATGTCCTCTGTTCTATAAAATCTTCGGAGCTCTTTGAAAAAGTAGACAGACTGTGAAAGGCTCGTGGTGATTGATCAGTTCGCAATTGTTTTTTTAATTAATCGGTTAGCATTGAACAGTGAAGTCAATGATCACTCGGTTCGGTCAGTCAGCTCAATTGTCAGAAATGATTCCATCAGGGGCCAGTAATCAGTGAGATGAATCAGAGTCGTTCTTATTAGCCAGTCAATCATTAATATTCAGTTAAAGGAATCGGTCGGACTCGGCCACCGTTTGTTTAATTATTCAGACAGAATGAAACTTCTTCAGTGACAAATCCATCACCGAGTCAGAGTTATTCGTTCCCATATCAGAAGATGATATTCACAGTGGCATAACCTAGGCATAACGCGTCCTCAACGCTTAAGAAAAAAGAAATTTGTTCATTTGTATTTAATTTTCATTGATATCACAAAAATGCGTTGTTATCAAAAATGAAAAGGAAAGAAAAGGTTCTAATTTAGACTATGCGTAAAATATTCATAATAATTATCAAAAAAAAAAAAAAAGAAAAGAAACGAAAAAGTGAATAAAATTAAGGTGCAGAAAAGAAAGAATAAAAATTAAGCTACGCGTAATATATCACAATGCGTAAGTATAACAACATTGTTAAGAAAAAAAACATTAATATTATAAAAAAATGCAAAGAGAAATGAAATAAAATTAAGATGCAAAGAAAGAACGAATAAAAATTAGGCGTGTAAAATATCACAATGTGTACACATAATATTGTTAAAAAAAAAGCATTAATATTTTTAATAATTTTAATATTATTAAAAAAAAAGCAAAGAAGAAAGGAACAAAATTCAAAATGCAAAAAAGAGAAGGAATAAAAATTAGGCTACGTGTAAAATATCACAATGGGTACACATAATATTGTTAAAAGAAACCATTGATATTATTAATAATTTTATTAATAATATTATTTTAAAAAAAGCAAAGAAAAAAGGAACAAAATTAAGAAGGAATGAAATTAGGCTACGTGTAAAATATCACAATGCGTACACATAATATTGTTAAAAAAGAAACATGAATATTACTAATAATTATATTAATAACTGTAATATTATTAATAATATAATATTAATTATAATATTAATTATAATATTATTAATATTATTAATATTATTAAAAAAAAGAGCAAAGGAAAAAGGAATAAAATTAAGAAGCAAAAAAAGGAAGAATCGAAATTAGGCTACATGTAAAATAGAACTTACTTTTCATTATTAGATTATCACAATGCGTACGCTTAATGATAATATAGGAAGAAATAATATGAAATATATAAAATAAAATAAAAAATATAAAATAAAATAAAGAATATAGAAAATAATATAGAATAAAATATATAAAAAAATATATAAAATAAAATAAAATAAAATAAAAAATATAAAAAAATACATAAAACAAAATAATATAAAATATATTAAATAAAGAAAAAAATATCTATCGAAAGAAAGAAGGAAGGAAAGAATAAACCGTGCGTGAAGTAGAAACAGTTGCGTAATTATCAAACGCAAGAAACATAAGTGATTATCGCGCAAGGCAAAAGGAATACGGAGCAAAAAAAAGGAAAAATGAAATTCGACCAACGCGTGCAACGTTGTTTACCGTGGAAGATTTTCACGCGTTGGGATCGAGACTCGTCACGTGTTGCAGCCAACATCGGCTGCATTCGTTGACACGTCACTATCTCTCTCGCCTAATCGCGAGACCTTTCACGCGATAATAGACAGACGATAATTCGAGTTTACAGATATATCCATAAACACAGAGCAAAGTCTCATTGTGTCAGCCACTCGACGACGGCAAGCGTCATCTTCTTTCGCCTCGATAATAATAATAGTAATACGTCCTGATAATAATAATTTTGGAGCATTTGCTCCGAAACGGTGGTTGGATATATTGAAATTCCAACGACCTAGAACAGCACACAGATAACACAGTCACCGCCTCTTTGCCAATCGCGTTCGAACCATTATTTACCAGAAATTGATATACTAACCTAATTTTCCTTATCTGTGCTGATTATTAGCATCTACCGGAGTGCTGCGGTAGGTAGAATACATAATTCTATGCAAACACGTACATCGTTCTCTCGCGATAAATTCGCAGTACAGTTCCATCCTACTCTGAAGATTCCATTCGGTGAATTTCAGCGGCAAGAGTTTGAAGGAATTTGAATATTTCACGGAGCACCCACGTTTCCATTTGAGAACGAATTACTCTAGTGTGAATTTTTGAAAAATAAAAATCGATTTTTTCCTTTTTTTTTTGCAATATTCTTAAAGGACGTAGTTTGAAAAATAAATCTCTGTAACCTTACGTGTGAACTCGTAAACGATTAACGAAGTTATGGTTACCAGCGTCATTGTTACCGCATACTAAACTTTAAAGGCATTTTTCTGGAAACTATGTTTTTCAGAACGGTGTCCACGATATCTCAAAATCTGCTTTGACCAATTGACTCAAAATTTTCAGTACGAATTTCAGTACATGTGTGACTATAGCCCCTACCAGAATCAACCAAGAAATTTTATTTTTTCATATTCCTTTTGGGCTTCCGAAGTTTAACAAAACCATGCAGAAATAGATAATCGATATTCAAAGTGTCGCCACTTTTTTCAATTACCGACTTTTCTCTTTTGTTTTGGTACCTGCTATAGCCAAGCTCATACTAATCAAGCAACATTCACGTTTCTTTTTATTTCCGACAAGCAGAATGGTGGAAATCATGGACACCGAGCGACTATGTTTGAGAGTATGCAGTGCCACTAATTTTAACTCGTTTTCTCCCAAAAGAATTTTAAAACGTCGTTGAAATACGTACAGATAAACCTTGTCAATTCGACTGCAAAAGGTATAATAGTTTCTTTGCAAAAAATTCCCTAATGAAGTTAAAAAAAAAAACACGTATTTCACCCTAGAACACCCCCTTAAACGTTTTCCGCTTCAGCTGTTTTTGCAATAAGATCGCTGGACAAACATTGTGATATTTTGATCTATATAATAAGTAAATTGTATCCCATTTTACCGTAACCATCCATGTATCGTAATACAACCGAGACGATGATTCTACGTCGAAAAATAAGAAAAAAATTTGATATAACATTTTTCTATCTGGGGCTCGGTTTTCGAGAAAATCGACTTTAAAGTTTGCTCATCTTTGAGTTTCTACGCAATGAATTGCCTTCGTTGTTAGAGCATGTACCCTTAGATGCTACAAGGAGTATAATTTTTCCAACCACGTTACACGAGGGAGGTTAAAAATTTTTTAAATCAAACGTGTTCGTGTTGGATCGGCCGCGATAGTAAGATACGTTGGTCACCAAGGTCTCCCGGACCCCACGCCTCTAGATTTTTTTTTTTATGGGGACATGTGAAAGAACAAGTTTATAAAGACGATATTTCAAATATTACACATTTGAAGCAAAAGATTATGCCTCTAGTTTTTTTTTTTTTTTATGGGGACATATGAAGTGACAAATTTATAAAGACGATATTTCAAATATTACACATTTGAAGCAAAAGCTTATGCCTCTAGTTTTTTTTTATGGGGACATATGAAGGAACAAATTTATAAAGACGATATTTCAAATATTACACATTTGAAGCAAAAGATTATGCCTCTAGTTTTTTCTTTTTATGGGGACATATGAAGGAACAAGTTTATAAAGACAAAAGATTATGGAGGAATTCGAGAAATTGAAAAAACAATATTAAACATTCTTATATTCTGTTCAGATATCATTGATTCGTCGAGCAAATTTACGTATGCAGCAACGAGGAGGACACTTTCAACGATACTTGTAACAGAAATGGTTATTAATCGTGGTATTGCAATAGAAACTAGTAATAAAAGATGAAAAATTAATTATCAGTAGGAAACACTTTGTACTGCTTTAACCACACAATGAATCACGTTTGTAAACGCTGTCTCGGACGAAGAGAACGAACAGAACTTTAAGGTCGATTTTCTCGAAAAACCGTGCCCCAGATAAAAAAAAGAAAATGTCATACCAAATTATTTTTCTTATTTTTTAACGTAGAATCCACCGTTGCACTACAAATTCCAACCCAGCCTGTACACAGAGGGGAAAAGAATAAAAGCTGGCACGTGCTCCGCGCTCGTATTTCTCTCGAGCTTGCTGACGCAAGCGTAACGATGCCTGTTTGCGAACATATTCGCGCGAGACGAAAAAAAAGGGCACGCTCCCGACTTGCATCGAAAAATACAAAAAAAAAAAAAAAAAAAAAAAAAAAAAAAAACCCAAATTCCTTTCGGCCGATCCTTGCAACTTCTCGTCTTCTCTGCTTGCTCTCCTTTCTTCCTAGCAGCTTCGTCGGCGAAAGTCTCGCACGTCAATCGCTGTCGACGTGTGAGCAAAGAATTCGAAGATCCAAATGGCGCGAATGCTGTTTGGATGGTGTTTTTTCCCCCCATTGTAGTGGGAAAACGCGCGATATCGCGACGACAGCTCGTCCGGCGAAACATCTCGCGTCAGCTGTAATTCACTCACACAGCCTCGCGTCCGCGGGCTCCTCTCCTGGACCGTGAAATCGTCGTTAAAACGTCGGCGTACGCGTCGATTTTCACCACCCACCGACCCCCTCGAGAGATAGATTTATCGTGGCTCGCGCGGCTGAAAATAAAAATATTTTCGTTTCGCGATTCAACGTTTGAAAAACGTTGGGTGAGAGAGAGAGAGAGAGAGGGGGGGAGGATTAAACCGAAATAACGGATTAATTTGCAAACTCTGTTCGATTATCGCGCGGGAGTTTCGCCGAGCTCCGGCCTCTCTGATAATTTCACGTCGTTTCACGCGTATCAGCGTTTTATCACGCCGGTATTTCCCCCCCGGTAATACTTTCACAGATATTATAACAAAAGCTACGGGGGGGGGGGGGGAAGAATCTTTTCCAATAGAGATTATACGTTAACACCCCGTCTCGGGGTGAAAATTCGGGCGAAAACGTAATGGGTCCACGTGCTTCTTTTTTTTTCTTCACAAAGCAACGTTCCGCCTTTACGGTTGTCAAAGAACATTTATTCCACTCGTTCGAAATCTGATATCGCCGCGCGTTGCTACAACATTCAACCGTGGGTCTTGATCTTCGAACGACGAGAGGGAAGAAAGGAAGTGTTGCGCGGACCATAACGAGTGACCGAACAAACCGTGATGACAACGATTCGTCTTGTTTTTTTGAATTTCGTCGGTATGTTATTAAAATTTATCACTCGTTGCTTCTTAGCCCGCGGTTGTATCTCAATATATACTACTTGAAACTGAGAAAATATTTTGCCATTTTTTGGGCCAGAAATATTCTCAATGGCACGTCATTCCACCGCAAGAAGTTAACTTGAGCGTACGTGAATTTTTTTAATCTTGAAGAATAGATACGTAAATTACGGCGAGTCAAGGTTTCCCAAATTTTGTAAAATTCCCTCGGGAAGAGAAAAAGCGTAAATGGTCGAACTGTTTCCAAAACAATCTTCTTCGTCGACCCCTAAACCTATGATTCTGTCGCGAAACGTTTAACCCCTCAGGGGGCGCGCAATTTTAAATAAAGAAAGAAAAAAAAAAAAACTCCACCTGGAACATTGAAAGAACCAGCTTGAAACTGAGAATACATCGTCGCGTGACACGTTCCAGCGCAGGAGGCTAACATTAGTCGCAGAGGGGCGAGTTCACGTTCGATGGAACAGTCGGAGAGGGATGAATAAGTTGAATTTCGTCGTGGGAGGGAGCAAACGGTGACAAGAGCGGTTAGAAAAGGTTCTAAAAATCTATTATTTACAAAAAGACGGGGGGGAAAGAGAGCGCGTGTACAATAGAAAAATACACTTTACAATTGAAAAGAGGCGAGAGTGGAGGAAAGGGACGCGCTTCAAGAGGCACTCGTGCCACGGCTGCACTCGACTATTCGCCGCCTCTCCCGAAGAAGCTCCAGAAATCTCGCCCTGGGACTTCCGGGATATTTCAATTTGTCCCTGAGATGCGCGATCTCGCCGGCCGTGCTCTCCATCACCGCGTGATCCTTCCAACACGCGCACACGTGTCGTCTACCAGCTTCCCCCGCTCGCCGCGAATAATCGTCCGTCTCTTGGAATCTTTTCGTTCGCGCGTTCGCCGTGTTGTACGCTTTCCTGAAACAATCAGTCTGTCTCGAAAAAGAAGAACTGTGCTCGTCCATCTCCATCGATGCTGGACAATTCGAATCAGCGGGCCATGATGTCCGATTCAATCTTCTCAGAGGCGAGAAACCTTCCTCCAGAGCATGATCCAAGTCGTCGTTCTTCCGTTCGGTGGAGCAGGTCCTCTCCACGGACAAATTCCCCGTTATTTCGTACGTGGTGAGATCTCTGCGATCGTTCGACGCTTCCTCCACGCTGAGGTTTCCTCGAACGTCTCCGCAGAATGGTGGCTGATTCGTCGCGCGGCGATATTTGTCGCGGAATTTCGTACCGGGGCTCCTCGATCTGGGCTCGGCCGTAGCGAGCAGACTGCCACGAGATCGAAGCCTGCTCGAATTCCCATAGCGGATGGAATTGGCAACGTTCATCAGTTGATCGAAGATCTTCTTCTCAAGGTCGTCGCCCTCTTTCCGGTCCACGACGCCAGCACCTCGGAACAAAGGAACTTCTGTCTCACGAAGGATCGTCTCCGAGTCGTCGGCCGTCGGTGACGCGCGAGCCTCTGTACTAGGACTCGCTAGATCCAGTCTAGCGCCAGCAGACTCGCAGTCTACGCCGTACTTCGCCCGTAGCAGCTCGTTGTGCCTGTCGACTCTTCGAATGCAGTCCTCCAACCTCTGGATACCTTTCAGACACCTCTCGTACGAGTCTGTGGTTATCGCGATATCCTCCTCCTCCTCCTCTTGCTCCTCCTGCTCCTGCTGCTCCTCCCCTGGATAATCGTCGTCGTCGACCTTTTTCGAACTGACCTTTCGAACTGGGCTCACGAATTCCGAGTAATCGCGATCCCACGACGACGACGGACAGTCCCTTCGACGTGCACCTCGTTTCCCGTCTCGTCCACGAACCAAAGACGTCCACGACAATGGATTCCTTGACGATGAACAATTTATTTCATTTAGTAACAAATTTCAATTAGCAACGAGTTTCAATCTGAAGAGATTAAAATTGAATACCTCTCTCAACTTTGGAAACTCTATCATGAAATGAAAGTAATCTAACAAAACTGTAATTCTAAGAGTATTGCAGCAGGCTTTGATCCTTCTAGTAGATATTCTTTTCGCACGTTTGAATATTTCTTACTAATGGCTTATTTTTACAATAGTTTTCCCATTGAAGAATACTTGAGATTCTTGTACAGGGTGGAAAGAAAAGTTTGTCCGTGGTTGTCATAGATGAATTCTACATCCTCTTTTGGTATCGAATTCATCTACGATCTGATGGAAATACGCGTATCTGCCGCAAAATTGACATTGACTTTGAATTTCAAGGTCCAAAATTCTTCTTGCATTGTATTCTACTCATCACGAAGGTAAAACAAGGAACCGTGCAGTTCTTTCGAAAAATGGCAAAATAATTTCGCGTCCTAACAGCGACTTTATGATTCCAGACGTCTGGATATTTATTTTGCGAATTTTCGTATTAGGTTTCACCAACATTTGTTTCATCATAGCTGCAGCATCAGTATGAATCTAAATAATCAAATAATAAAACTAACAGTCAACGTTATTTGAAATATGAACGTTATGTAATAAAGTCGCTGTTAGCACGCACGCGTCTATTAAGAAACTTTTTGCCATTTTTCAAAAGAACTATCAGATTGCGATCTATAGTTCGTTGGAAAAGTTTTACCTTCGTGATGAGTAGAATACAATGCAAAAAGAAAGAAAAATTGATTTGATCTTGAAATTCTAACATCAACCTTAAGGTTCTGGATGTGTGGATGTAATGTTTATATTTCGAATAATGTTAACACAGTTAGTTTTATCATTTGATTATTTAGACTGACAGTGATGCTACAACTATGATGGATTAAATGTTAGTGAAATCTGATACAGAAATATAAAGTCGCTGTTAGCACGCACGCATCTATTAAGAAACTTTTTGCCATTTTTCAAAAGAACTATCAGATTGCGATCTATAGTTCGTTGGAAAAGTTTTATCTTCGTGATGAGTAGAATAATGTCAAAAAGAAAGAAAATTTTTGACTTTGAAATTCTAACAGCGACTTTATGATTTTGGATGCATGGATGTAATGTTTGTATTTCGAATAATGTTAACACAGTTAGTTTTGTCATTTGATTATTTAGACTCACACTGATGCTACAACTATGATAGATTAAATGTTAGTGAAACCTGATACAGAACCATAAAGTCGCTATTAGCACGCACATGTCTGCAGTGTCAAATGACCAAGAACTTTTCTGTCATTTTTCAAAAGAACTATATGATTCCTTGGAAAAGTTTTATCCTCGCGATGAGTAGAATAACAATGCAAAAAGAAAAAGTTTTCGACCATGAAATTTAACGTCAAGGTCAATTTTGCGGCAGATGATAGCCACGGATAGCCACTTTTTTTCCACCCTGTATGTTCTGTTTCTACAACAATGGTTCGTAGTTTTAAAAAATTGCGAATTATTAAAAAAGACTATAAATCAGAAACCAAAAAGCGACAGAACGTCGAAAAGTTCTTTTGCGATTGTTCCTCACCTCTTGAGCATGCTCCTGTTCGCGTACTCGCTGACAGAGTTCAAGTTTCGCATAAAGGTCACCGCCTCGCTCAGATACTCCTCGAGAACGTTCTCGCCCTCACGATTGAGCAGAACCTCTTCGTCCTCTCCTTCCTCCACCTCCTCGTCCTCCACGTTCTCGTAACTATCCGACTCGCTGCACGACGTGTTCTCCGACGATTCTTCCACGGAGAACTTGACTTTCCTGCGGCAATGTTTCGAATTCGCCGCGAAATCCTCGTCCTCGTTGCCATCCTCCAAACTCTCCTCTTGCCGAGAGCCGTCACTCCCGTCTTCGTTGAAAGAACGAATCGGACTCGCAGTTTCGGTCGCGTTCTTCTTTTTCCTGTTCTTAATGATGGGTTTCAAGGTTGCCGGCGATTCAGGGCTCGACTTCCTCTCGCAGAAGGACACTTTCTTCTTCCCCGAGCCGTCCGCGCGAATATTCGACTCGTCGTTGGCTTCCTCGTAGCTGTAACAAGCTCTGCCCAAGATCAAAGACTCGTAATCTCGCGCGTTGCTCGCGTCTGTCGTCGTCTCGATCGGTTTCCTCTTTGGGAATTCCGCGATCCGGCCGTCCTCGGGATCGCTAACGGGCTCGTTCTTCTCCGACGAGTCGACCGCTTTCGGGCAGTCTTTCTTCGTGTGTGCCACCACGTCTGGCGGGCAGAGATTCTTCTCCCGTTGCTCCGTCGTCGCTTTCGCTTTCAACGTTTCGTCGGACACGTTGATCTCGTTATAGTCCAAACTGTCGTCCGAGAAGCCGTGCTCGTGATCCGCCGCGTTGCCGTTCAACGAGCCGGAATAAGGCGACCTCGTCCCCGAAATCTCGTCGATGCTGTCCAACTGAAAGTGATCGGCCGGCGACTCTCCAGCTTCCACGCAGCTCCCACGAAGTTCGAACGGAGTTCCCTCGACTTCCGGTCGCCAGGCGGCCGGTACGACAGCACCGAGACCTTTCGAAAAATTGTTGGCCATGGTCGATGACGTGGGAACTTGCCAGTTCCTCCAAGGATCCTGGTAAACGGCCGTGCTCGGCGCCCTTCTCGAATTGAAACTGCGCTTCCGGTTGATGAACGCCTCGGTGATTAATCCATTCCTGATAAATCCTCCGGCGTGAAGCCCCTCGTGGGCCAGCTCGTACCTCTTCGGCTGTGACACGTACGACGTCCCCAGTGAATTCCGGAAAGTAATGGAATTCCTTATCCTCGTCCCTTCCTCCGTTCGATTCGAATCCACTCTCGAATTCTTGGCCGCGTTGTTAGGGTCGTGAAAGATGTTCTCGATCCGGAACACCCTGCCGTCGGTTTGGCTGGGCGCCGACGCGGCCTGATCCCTCGAACAGTAGATCTCGTTACGGGGATCGTTCCATTCGTCGTCGGTCTGGGCACCCGCCTCCCTCGCGCCGCCTCGTTTCGCATCGTTCGGCTGCAACGACGGTTCGTTGTGATCCATCTGCGCGGTTGCAGCGACGATCCTCGAGTCCCCTACGGCGCTCGTCGTCTCGATGATGATGCTGACGGTGTCCGGCAGCGAGATAGAGATGACGCTTCTGTCGCGATTTTCAGGATCCTTGGCTCGAGGGCTGCAGCACTGTCTCGCGCAGCTTGCCGTTGCCTCGTTCAACGGCGACGTCTGCACCGCGAGATTCCGACAGGACGAGAACGTGCTGGTGTTTGTCGAAGTTTCCGCGTACGCCACTCGTCTGTCTTGGCCTTGGAGATCGGACACCTCGGCGCTGCTCGAGTTACTCTCGGCGTGATTGCGCGCCGAGGAGGAAAGAATGCCAGAGTCGTTGCGCGGAGAGGAATGGATCCCGTAGTCGTACTCCTCGAGGTCGTTCGCCAAACTGGCCACGTCTCTGCACTTGACGACTCTCGTCCTGGGCTTCTCCGTCCAAGTGGCCGTCTCCTTCACCCTCAAGATCGGTGTCGTTCGTACGCCCGAAGCGTACTCGCAGGCTTCGTGACGATCCGTGAGAACGCCGACGTCCTGACGCGTAATCTGCGGCGTCTCGGTGAGGGACGCGGTGTCCCTCATGCGAACCGTCCTCGAGCACTCCGTCTGAGTGTCCACGCACACGCGTTTACGCTTGCCGAGCATCTTCCTCGAGATCTCCTGCAGCTTCAGCTTCGCCGCGGACTTTGCCGCGTCGCATCCGGTGTCCGGCGGCGACCGTACACCCGGTCCAACATCGTCCAGGTGCTTCCTGCTCGAGTACAGCCTCTCGGTGACCGCCGCCACGATCTCGGCGCGTTTCGTTCGCTGTATTGGCGTGTGGCTCCTCGTCGAAGGTTCCTGCTCGAGGGAGCTCTTTCTACGGAGCAGCTTGTCACGAGCCAGGCTCGAGATCAATATCTGCTCGTCCTTGGAGCTGCTCGAACTGCTGTCCTTGCTGGTCTTTCGCTTCAGACTGTCCAAGCTCGGCTTCCTCGCGTAACTCCTCGACTTCGCGCCAGGCTCCTTCAGACTCTTGTCCGAGTCGTTGCTGTCTTTCCGCTCCTTCGGCCAGCCGCTTCTGCTCGAGACGTTCTTCTGGTGGTCGTCGATCTCGCGGATGTTCTTCAACTTCTTCGCACGGTCGCCGATCGAGTTCGAACGGTTCTCCAAATTCGTGTGCGACCTCTCCAGCGAGAACACCGGGTCTCGCTTCTTCTCGATCGCCTCCACCGAGCCGAATTTCTTCAACGCGTGCAAGTTGGAGAGCACCGAGCTCGGCAACACGTCCACCGTGTCCTGCTTGCGAAACTCGCGCCTCTGTCTAGGCGATCTCAGCCGCGCGTACTCGGTGCTTTGGCAAACATCGAGAGACGACGACGCCTCGTTCTCACCGAACGCGTGACACGAGTTGACGGAGCTGCTCCTGTCGTCGTGATCCACGCTGTCCAGCTTCTCGGACTCGTCGAACGCCGCCTCCTCCTCGTGGTCGTTGGCCGGCTCGAACTCGGCGTCGATCGACTCCTCCGCCACCTCGTCCGAGCAGATCTCCTCGATCTGCACGGACGATCCGTGAAGGTTGTTGTCCGGCTTGATCAGAACCGCGACCAACGTCGGAATGTCGACGAACACGGACTCGTGGATCTCGCTCACCTCCTCGTCCTCCTCGTCGTTCAGCTCGGTGACCTTCGCCCGGTTGAAGCGCTCGCTCGTCGCCAAATATTCCAACGAGCCGAATCTCTTTCTTCGCCGTGGATCGGGCTTCGTTGCGTGCGTCGCGGCGACGCAGCAGCTGTCGCTGGAACTGGATCTTCGAACTGAAACGACGCTCTTCGATCCCTTCTCTTCCACCTCTGTCCTCGATTCTATCGCCGCTGTCTCATCCTCTTGGGACTTCACTTCCAAATTCACCACGCTGGATCTGCCACGTTCAGCCGATTCCTTTAACGAGCGATCTGCCCGCGTCTGGCAACAGCAGAGCGCCTCCGCGACTGGTTCTACGTTCTGCGAAATATGTATATATATATATATAGCATATATTTTATGTTTGAGTACAGGCTGATTCAAGCAGCTGGCACAACTTTGGAATTTAATGTTTCTCCGATTTACAATGAAACAGAATATACGGTCCGATTCAAGAAAAGATGGAGATGACCTTGGAAACTTCGACACGTCCGAGGTCATCTTTATTCTTTTAAATATTAACACACTGTATTAATATAGTATACATTTTTTTTCTTGTTATAATGCAATAAAAACTTCATATTTATTACAATATAACATATATTGTAATAAATATTTACTGTAATAGAAATATTCCAATAATATAAATATAAATGTAATAATATATATTAAATATTTATATTATTTATATTATTAATATTTATAATTTTTATACTATTTATATTATTAATATTTATAATATTTACACTATTTATATTATTAATATTTATAATATTTATACTATTTACATTATTAATATTTATAATATTTATACTATTTACATTTTTAATATTTATAATATTTATACTATTTATACTATTTACATTATTAATATTTATAATATTTATACTATTTATATTATTTATATTTATAATATTTATAATATTTATATTATTACATTTATATTTGTATTATTACAATATTTATATTATTTATATTGTTATTATTAAATATTTATATTACTTATATTGTTATTATTAAATATTTATATTATTTATATTGTTATTATTAAATATTTATAATATTCATATTATTACATTTATATTTGTATTATTACAATATTTACATTACAGTAAATATTTATTACAATATATATTATATTGTAATAAATATAAAGTATTTTTATTGTATTATAATAAGAAAAAAATATATATATTATATCAATACAATGTGTTTATTGTATTATAAATATTTATAGTACAATATAATATATATTTCTTTCATTATCTAATCGGCAGAATATTAAATATTCCAACGAAAAATGTATTAGGCCACATTTGTCTCAAACCTAGTGGTTAAGGAGATATTTTACGTATACAATGCATACAACTTCCGCATATATAAATATACAACTTTTTGTACATGTGAACAACACTATAAATAAATTTTTCATCACACGCATCGATTCGAAGGTAATTGTTTCAAACATGTGCAAGTTATCAAACGAATCACCACCGTGCATATCACGCGTGCAGAAAATGCTTTCAAACAGCCATGCGTCTCATTCTCAAGCGTTCCAAGGTTTCTAACTCTGAGATCCGATCGGTTGTTACCGGTCTGGCACGATTGGCAAATGTCACTTGGAAACTGTCACCGCGTACGGATGGGATTGATTAAAATGATCACACACGCTGGAAATGAATGGACGACCGGCGAGGAATAATGGCCATCATAACCACCGCGGGTAATTCGATGAGGTTAATTAATGACCGATTACGTAACGCGGCGCGGCATGATCGAAGGATATTGTAAAATCTAGTCATAGCGCGAACCGATGGATGGATATGTTCTGTCACTCGTTAAACGCGAACGCACCTGCGAACCGTGCAACTGTATTTTATCCGGAATCGTTGGGCCAATCCGCCAGAGGAAGGATCGCGCGACCGGTCAATGAGCTACGAATAAATCGACTCGTGCATTTCATTTGCGTGTACGACTCGAGCACGAGTTTACGTTTGTTCGATCACGTTTGTCCGCGTTGCTTCGCGAACCAAGCCACAGCCTAGGCAATGGTGAATCGATTACGATTATAAATAAATATCCGGGGCTATGTCTTCGCTAACTGTGAATTTATTTTTCTACTTGTTCCCCCTCCTACTCTCCCCGTCACTGTTAATACTCGCGGCGCGAAAAAAAAACTGCGGTTGCCGTTTGTTTGTCGATTGTTTGGAAAGATACCGGTCGATCCATTGAGAAACAAGAGATTGGATTCCGAAGGTAATTTGGGGAAAACTCTTTCATACGATTCACCATTTAAGTTTCGACCTAACTGTCCCAAAGAATCCTGAAGGAGGATAATCGTTTAATCATTCTAATGACGACTGATTGAATTTAAATAATATAAATCGTCTCCATATTGTTGTAATCTTTCAAAAATAACATCAATTGAAAATAATAATCTATTCATTGAAATTATTCGGCTCTTTTCGCCTTCGAAATTTCGTCNAATTAACGCCGATCGATCGGATGTCACTCCGATATCCTACGAGATCCGCGGTTACGCTAAACCACAGACGAGGTATGCGAATAGACGTTGCATCTTACGTGGCCCGTGACCTGAACCTTACCGACATACTAAGAAATATCACTGATTTCTTATGTTAGCGCACTCCACGTTTGAACAACGCTGCGCTGGCAACCGGTTCGCGGACCATAACGAGAGACCGAATCGTATACAATACAGATATTATCTTTCAAAAATAATATCAATTGAAAATGATAATCTATTCATTGAAATTATCGATCCTGAAGTTGACAAAAAATCTCTACAATAATAAGAGTCTGGGTAATCGGAATATCGTCGTGGTGTTCCTATTAGTCCCGAAAACGTGTCGAGAAAGAAAAATCTACGTTTCGACGAGAGTTTAATTAAAACCGTTTTTAACGAGAATCGTTTGAAAAATTCATGGTCTAACGTGCGCGTGTTGCTGAAGCTTTTCATCATGCTCTCCCCTTCCCCTCTCGCGCCACCGCGTTGAAATTTTCCGCCGATCTGTATGTTTTCGAATTTGCCAGATTTCGTTTCAGCTCGGATTTATATTGGAAGGTCGACTTGCCTTTTCTAGCAACAAACACCTTAACCTAGCCACCTCGGCCCTCAGCTCGCGGATGATCCTCGCCACGGGATCCTCGTTGACCACCGGCCGATTGACCACGCTCTGCACCCTCTGCGCGAATCGCAGCGTGTGCGCTGTCTCGTTGTAACTTCCGCTCGCCGGCGAGATCGCTAGAAAACCAAACAATCGAGATCAAGACCCAGCTGCTCTAGTCAGCATCTCCCTCTACTAATTTTCCCTCGACTAATTATGTATGTACCATACGTAATCCTACGTCACGTTCCTTGCGTTCGTACTGCGTCTCCCTTCTTCCATTATGTTTCCTACACACTACACATTTGTGTCTTTTTGTGATTAATTTATCACCACGCCTCTCTTCCTTCTCGACCCCTTGCGCTGGCAACTGGTTCGCGGACCATAACGAGTGACCGAATACCGTATACGATAATTCGTCGCCTTCTTTTCCTTTTGAACTCGTCGTTATGACATCACTGGATAGAAATAATTAAGAAGTAATAAATTTGTCATTTGTTTTGCCTGAGTTACATTTAAATATACATTGAAAACTGAGAAAATGTTGCAATTTAGTACAAAAAGATTCTCGACGTGCACGTCGTTCCAGCGCAAGAGGTTAAGGATATTAACGCGTTGACTGACCGTGCGAATCAAATACGATTCGCACCACGTTTGTTCGATGCGCTGCGTGAATCATATTTGCCTCGCACAAAGATTTTTCTCTCAGACCGCGTGGGCAGCAATAGTAACCAAGGGGTTAACCGTGGAAGGATTCTCCCTCGCGAAGAAAAAAAAAAAAAAAAAAAAAAACGAGAAAGAAGCAGTCGAATTTCCTACGCGCAAAATGAAGAAAAAAAGAAAAAAAAGAGTCACGTTCCGAACGAAAATTTTCAAATCCACGCATGGAGAGAAAAAGGACTCGCGCGCGAACGAGTACATTGTACAAGCGGTCAACCATTAATGCAGACACTGAATATTAAACGTCCCTGTCCCTGTCCCTTTCCCTCCTCCCTTTCCCTCTCCCCGGAGTTTCACAACCGGGTCGATAATAAGCCCCGAATGCTATTAGCAATTCAATTGCACGTCGATGATCATCGGTTTGGAATATTTCGCCGCGATTAATTATAACGCATCGCGGCCGGCCTACGAATATTCGCCGATTCTTCCGGTTTACCGTTGGCCATCCCCCGGACTGTGCTAATTAGCCGATCGTTTTTCCATCTGGATTCCACCGATTATAAACCGCGTCCGACGCATTAGATGTGAATTTCCACTGGTACGAAAATATTGGGATAATTTCGGAGAAGAGGCGATCGCCGGGGTTACTGTTCTGCCGGATCAATTCGCCACGTTTGTCCATTTAACGAGAGATAGATAGACAGAAAGGGAAAGAGAGAGGTGGGGAATTTGTAACGTTACTTTGACAAAGGACGCGAATAGATCGAGAATCACGGTAGAACGCAACAACGCGGCCCGGACAAGTAGGGGAGTCGGTATTTTTGCAGTCACGACCGTCAGTGCACTTGTCGTAAAAAAAAAAAAGGAAAAAAAAGGGATTTCTCCATGTCGATAAACTGGAAATTGCAAAATAAAAACAATTTTCCAATTGGATCGAATCTCGGAAACTGTTTGACGCAGATAAAAAGCAGACCGGTGACAAGGCAATACCCGAGCTCTTTCGACCCATTCGATCAGTAGAGTATTTTATTATAAAATTAATCGCGCTTTTTCCCCGGGAAAATCGCGGCCAACGCGATCTTCTATTCCACGGTTTTTTATACCGTGATTGCGCGTCTCGCGAAAAGCTCGCTCTATTTTAACGTACGTTTCACTCTGTAGAAAAAAACAGAAAAGAAAGAAAAGTTTGTCCGTGGCTATCATAGATGAATTCATACATCTTCGATTTGATGGAGATACGTGCGAAGAATCTGCTGCAAAATTGACCTTGACGTTAAATTTCATGGTCAAAATCTTTTTCTTTTTGCATTGTATTGTCTACTCATCGCGAGGATAAAATTTTTCCAAGGAATCATATAGTTCTTTTGAAAAATGACAGAAAAGTTTCTTGGTCATTTAACACTGCAGACATGTGTGTATTAACAGCGACTTTATGGTTCTGTGTCAGGTTTCATTAACATTTAATCTATCATAGTTGTAGCATCAGTGTGAGTCTAAATAATCAAATGATAAAACTAACTGTGTTAACATTATTCGAAATATAAACATTACATCCACGCATCCAGAACCTTAAGGTCGATGTTAGAATTTCAAGATCAAATCAATTTTTTTTTCTTTTTGGCATTGTATTCTACTCATCGCGAGGATAAAACTTTCCCAAAAAACCATAGAGTTCTTTTGAAAAATGACAGAAAAGTTTCTTCCTCCATTTAACACTGCAGACATGTGCGTGCTAACAGCGACTTTATGGTTCTGTATCAGGTTTCACTAACATTTAATTTATCATAGTTGTAGCATCAGTGTGAGTCTAAATAATCAAATGATAAAACTAACTGTGTTAACATTATTCGAAATACAAACATTACATCCACGCATCCAAAATCATAAAGTCGCTGTTAGAATTTCAAAGTCAAAAATTTTCTTTCTTTTTGACATTATTCTACTCATCACGAAGGTAAAACTTTTCCAACGAACTATAGATCGCAATCTGATAGTTCTTTTGAAAAATGGCAAAAAGTTTCTTAATAGATGCGTGCATGCTAACAGCGACTTTATATTTCTGTATCAAATTTCACTAACATTTAATCTATCATAGTTGTAGCATCACTGTCAGTCTAAATAATCAAATGATAAAACTAACTGTGTTAACATTATTCGAAATATAAACATTACATCCACGCATCCAAAATCATAAAGTCGCTGTTAGAATTTCAAGGTCAGAAATTTTCTTTCTTTTTGACATTATTCTACTCATCACGAAGGTAAAACTTTTCCAACGAACTATAAATCGCAATCTGATAGTTCTTCTGAAAAATGGCAAAAAGTTTCTTAATAGACGCGTGCGTGCTAACAGCGACTTTATTACGTAACGTTCATATTTCAAATAACGTTGACTGTTAGTTTTATCATTTGATTATTTAAACTCGTACAGATGCTACAGCTATGATGAAACAAATGTTGGTGAAACCTAATACGAAAATTCGCAGAATAAATATCCAGACGTCCAGAATCATAAAGTCGCTGTTAGGACGCGAAACTATTTTGCCATTTTTCGAAAGAACTGCACGGTTCCTTGGAAAAGTTTTGCCTTCGTGATGAGTAGAATACAATGCAAGAAGAATTTTGGACCTTGAAATTCAAAGTCAAGGTCAATTTTGCGATACGCGTATTTCCATCAGATCGTAGATGAATTCGACACCAAAAGAAGATGTAGAATTCATCTATGACAACCACGGGCAAACATTTCTTTCCACCCTGTACATAGGTACAGTAATTCCTCTAGGTGCCGTGTCTAATTACGTTCAAATGCTACGAGATTTACGATCGACCCATCTGCAGGAGTTTGTTTTGCAAACAAGACTTGTCGCCGGCGCCCTCCAAAAAACAGAAAACGAAATACTGATCGAAACTACGGTGTGAAATTTGTGCCGTGACAATGTATGACGTACATAATAGCACTATCTACCAGTAATCTACGCGTTGAGATTGTCGCGTTTCGTCCGTGTCAAGGGGCCGGAGGGGGGCTCGGACGTCACGTCTGCCCCCCTCCCCTCGACACCGGCGAAACGTTCAAGGAGCAATGCGAAGCTTGAGGAATTTCGTATTTACCGATTCCCGTCGCTACGCGCTTTCGCGCCGGTTATCGAATTTTAATCTCCGCGCCCTTAGCTCGCCTGGAAAAGCATTTAAACCAATTACCATCTCCGGGCTCCGGGTCTGGGCTCCCGGTATCGCTGGGGATAATTTCATGAATCAGAGGCTCGCGATAATAATTCTCCTCTGGCAATTAACTGGAATTTATGGGAAGCTGGAGTCAAGTGGCGGCGGCGGCGGAGGGGAGGGAGGATTGAGAAAGGGTAGAGGGCTAGCTGAGCAGGCGGCAGCGGAGACAGAAGAGATAAGGGAGAAGGACGAAGGAGAACGTCGGCCAATTTTTATTCTTTCTTTTCTTTTTTTTTTTTCTTTTTTTCCTCTCTCCGCGTGCTGGAAGCTGCCGCCGGAGTCGCCTTGCCAAATTAAATATCGCGATCCTGGGAACGACCTCGCGAACGGGCCTCGTCGGGAACAGGAGTGAAACAGACATGTTTCGAATGGAAGGGAGGGAGGGGGGAGGCTGGCTTGTGAGAGATCCGGAGGAGTAGCGAATCTGGAACGAACGGTATTAAACGGATTAGCGACGAGCCAGTGTGAAAAGAGAGCTGCTCGTTCAACGTGTAAATCATCGTTTAAGTGGATACACAGCGGAGGAGGCGTCTACTAAAAATAAATACGGAGACGAGGTGGAACGGCTCGAAACGGGGGAGGAACGAGGCTCGAAGGAAGTGGCGGAGAGACATAAGGAGGGAATGGCTTTGTAGACGGTGGATAATATCGGTAGGGTGAGAGAAAGAGAGAGAGAGAGAGAGAGAGAGAGAAGTGAGAGCAGAAGAAGGGAAGATCAAAGGGAAGACACTTACTGGCGAGCATAATGGTAGTGGCATTTCCGCCAAGTGCGTCCTTCAACAGCCAAGTAAGCGAAGAATCTCTATAAGGGATGAACCTCCTGCCCGGACCACTTCCGGCCGTGCCTCTCTCCGCAAGGGCTGATATTACGTTCCCTAGAGCCACTAGACTCTTGTTTATATTCGCGCCCTCCTGCAAAACACACGTGCCGCGCCGCCGCTTTTATACAATCGCACTCGCCATTCCAAAAGCATCGGTTCGACATCGGTATAGTTACAATTAGCGTGGGTTGGTTTTCACCTCGAGATCACTGTAGTCTCGGTCTTTTTTTTTTTTTTTTTTTTTTTTTGAATAAATGATCGATTCGATCTGTTTCACCTGTGAAAGATAAAACCAATCCATGCGACTCGAAAATCGTTTCGATTCGATTTCGATCTCCATTTGCACCGGAAAGCTCCATCGATCGGTTTGTTCGTTCGCGGCAACTAGGTATTATTTTTAGGAAGTGACTCACTTTCAGTCGATGAACACCGCTGCACGTGGCCGCGCTCTCGCTGCCCGCCAGATCGACCAGTCGTAATTTGCTGCCACCGCGTGGCGAGATCTCGTTCCTCCTCGCCGGGGTGGCGGTGACGCCGTGCGATTCCTCCGCAACGGCGATCGTCAGCAGAGCGTGGCTACGGCTGCTGCTACGATTCTGCAACGTCGATGCTGTCTTCCGGGCCTTCGTACCCTCCTCCACGTAGGACATCAACGAACCCAGGCTGCAGACCGCGTGGTGGGTCAAACCTGTTACAAAGAATCGTCGAAAATTTGAGAATTTGAAAGAGAAATGAGCAAAGTCAGACAGGTGATTGAGAATTTTATAATTCTCTTTTTAATCGGAGAGTCAAATTATATATATAGTGTAGGCCAAAAGTTTCCCAATAATTTTTTTTTTTTTTTAACTAAATATAGGAAAAAATTAATTTTATCAACTCAAGTTCAAACACGAACATAAATCCAGTGAGCAAGAAATTTAGAAAAATAATAATAAAAAAATTGAGAGTTTATTTTAGTAGGAAGTGATTTTTGGTCCACCCTGTACAAAAACAGAAAAATCAGTGGTAAGAAACGAAACTTGGCAGACGAGGAATGAGCAAGAAAAGGGATGATTAAGAATTTTATAATCTTCTTAATTAAATTATATAACGTAAGCCAAAAGTTTCTCACCTATTTTTTTTTTTTAAGTAAATATAGGAAAAAATTAATTTTATCAACTCAAGTTCAAACACGAACTTAAATTAGTGTACTTTAATCAGTGAGGAAGAAATTTAAAAAAATATATGATAAAAAAATTGAAAGTTTATTTTAGCAGGAAGTGATTTTTGGTCCATTCTGTACAAAAACAGAAAAATCAGTAGTAAGAAACGTAACTTGGCAGACATGGAGTAAACAAGCAAAGAGGTGATTGAGAATTTTATAATCTTTTTAATAAAATTATAGAATTAAATTATATAGCATAGACCAAAAGTTTCCGACCTTTTTTTTTTAAACTAAATATAGGAAAGAATTAATTTTATCAACTCAAGTGCAAACACGAACTTAAATTATTGTACTTTAATCAGTAAGCAAATTTAGAAATTTAGAAAAATATATAATAAAGAAATATATTTAGAGAAATATATAATAAAAAAAATTGCGGGTTTATTTCAGTAGGAAGTGATTTTTGGTCCACCCTGTACAAAAAAACAAAAAAAAATCAGTGGTAAGAAATATAACTTGCCAGACGAAAAATAAACAAGCAAAGGGATGATTAAGAATTTTATAACCTTTTCAATCGGAAACTCAAATTGCACCAACAAAAAAAAAAATCATTGGTAACAAATAGTACAGATATTTCGAAGTATCTTTGCATTTGAAAAAGAGAAGAATTTTACAAAAAGCTTGAAAGCTTGAATCGCGGAGGATTGATGGTAGAAGGCGAGGCAGTAAAACGTTGAAGAGACCGAGATTCAAGTGGAAGGAAATCCCCGCGACAACAATTATTTTGGATGACAATTATCGAAATTGCGTGGCATTTGCGAGACTAAATGTTCGATTGCCGGGGTACCTTGAACGTAAGGGCCAAGTCGAGGATGCTCGCGAACTCTCAATCCGCTCGTGCTCGAGGACGGCTTCAAAAGATCTCTCACCCTCTCGTTGTATATCTCCAAGTAACTGAAACAGAATTCAACCGGGCGTTACGCTCCAACTATCGCGTTTGATTGATTGCATTCATTTCCCGATCCCGCTGATGGATTCGCCCCTTCCTGTCCCCCTCTTCGACGGCGTTGAATCCGATCGATTTGCAACGATTTTGCACATTTCGCCTTTCCAAGTTAACACTCCACGCAACGAAATATCTTCCGGCATTCCCAGCGCGATACACTTAAAAATCTTTCTGGCTAATTCGTTATTAAAATTCTAGTATCGTTGGCTCACGCTCTTCGACGCGAGGTTGCTGTACAAATTAATACGTAACACAGTCTCGGACTAGGTTTGAGAACCTAATTCAAAGTTTGATTCAAAGTTCTATTGAATCTGTTTTTCAGTTCACAGAGTGAGGATTGACTTGAAGAGGTGTTTGTCCATTGCCATAGTTCCTCTCTCTTTCATAGCAAAGTTCGAAAGCTAGCTGTAGCCAGCTAGTGTATAACACTATCAATGATGGCGAACCTATGGTCCGCGCGTCAGACACTGACCCATGCAGGCTTTTTAAATGACCCACGCGTTGATTCTTATAAACTTATCATCATCATATATATATATATATATATATATATATATATATATATATATATATATATATANTTCTTGCTCTTCACTTGCAAAAGTAAAAGTTGTAAAACAAAAAGGAAACGTAAACTTTTTAGAGGATTATAAAAGTGAGAAGCAAAAAAAAAAATAGTTTTTAACCATCCTCCCCTCCCCCTTTTCAAGTGACGCCACGAGATAGTACTAAAAAAAATAATGAACAAAATTTGACCTACTTCTCAAGAAGGTTCGCCGTCACTGCTATAGGTGACTGTTAGAGCAATCAAGGCCTCGACAAATGTGCCTTCGTTTGGTTTTACCTTGATCTGGTAACAATAACACAATAGCCAAAAATTTGTCACACGGGAAATTACAATTGTTTCAACCAAATCTCTTGGAAACTCTGGAATCTCTTTGGAAACTCTGAACGTCGCTGTGGAACCTATTATCTTGGCGACTTGAAATTTTCATGCTTTCTCATTGCTTCTCTGCTCTCAGTTTTCATGATTATGTTTTAATCACCACCCTGCAACTTTGACGTAAAAAAGAATTTTCTTTCTTATTATCATTATAATTATACTGTTACAATGTTATTATAATTACTTACAATATTAACACCGTACAATATTATTATACAATATTATTATAATTACAATATTATTATAATTATAATTATAATTATAATTAAACGCGTGATTATTTGTCCTCTTTTGGTTAATTAGCACGTTGTAACGTTTCCTTTGGGTTAATTAATATGTTTATTGTTTGATATTGATTATTACTCTGCTGTAGCTGCGCCATCGTTATTTCTGTTTCGTTACTTTATTTTTCTTGTCGTCGAATTCTATTCATATCATCTATATAACTATCTGACAATAGGGCTTTATTCCGTCAATGAAACAAAGCAAAATAAAGTGTTTTTCTCACTTTCGTGTAAATGTAACACGCGGAACGTTACTTTTCTCCACAGAAGCAATTCGTATCAATAAAAATCCTCCAAAGTCCTCGGTCTAACGATCCCATAGGAAATGACCTACCCCCATTAAACTCTCCTTTTCTTTCTCTCGCGTTCCGAGCCACATAACAGCGAAAATTTCGCTGAGTTCTACTTGTCTCNTCATCTATTTGACCAATCAGTAACACGTAGTCTAAGTTTGGTCCCAATCTTTCTGGACACCCTGTATATTCATCATTTCACAGGCATACGCGAGTACCCGCTGTACCTTTTCTCACACATTTTACCAAATATATTTTTATCACGAAGAAAAAAATTTCAACAAAAAAAAAACCAAATGCTTCATATTCAATTGGGAACATCTCCTAATTTTTCTGCAGCAGTATAATTCCATGTCGCCGGCAACGTATCGCATTAGCCATTAGATATTCAACAAGTAACCAGCGGCCGGCTGTAATCGAGAGTGACCCTAACCCGCACGCGACACACGCCGCGAATATCAAAGAGATAAACGCCAGCGATAACACGCTCGATAAATACGATATTCAGCGAGCCAAGCCCCGTGAATATTCATCAAGGCCGTCTAAACAATACGATTTCGAATCGTGTACAGGCGTGCGGCACGTCCCACTGTTGGGGAGGATCGCATAGATCGGGCAGAGGATGAGGAGGAGGTGGAGAAGGTCAGGGAAATTTATCGGGTGCACGACGCATACTTTTCGTCGGGATGGTGCTCGCAGCCAGCGGCACCCGCAAGCTCCCGGATCCTCTTAACGTCATTATCTGCCTCACTGTGCTCGTGAAACGTCCGCGCGTGCCACCGTAAATCCGCTTAACGGGCCGATCCGAGTTTCAGAAACACTTTCCACTCTTGCATCTCTCGCGCCCTTCCTCTCCCGACGCTTCTCGAATCCATTCTCATCGACTCGCGGCAATGTGTTCCCCGATCTCGCGAGTTTAAGGTCGAGTTATTCTGGATCGCATGCCGCGATCACGATACACGCTCCCCCGACCATAGATCACCGGACACTTTCTTATTTTGATCTAGACAGTTGTATACACTAGAATACAGATGTACATTTCCGGATTAATTTTATTGTACTCTATTGTAATCTTGTTGTATGTACTCTAGTTTATAATAGATGTTTAACATTTTATAATTTTATAAGATGTTTAACGTATATGGACTGAATAAATATGTACTCTATTTTATAATAGATGTTTAACGTATATAATAGATGTTTAACATTTTATAATAGATGTTTGACGTATATATATATGGTCTGAATAAATATTTCAAGGTATATCAGAAATATGTATATATGTTTGAAAAAATTTGAATCGATTGTACTTCGGGATGAATTGGAGAGAAGCCATCAGAAATGTGTCCAAAATCAAAAGAAAGAAATTGAAAGAAGCGTGGAAAGAAATTCATTCCGAATAAATGTTATTATAATTAAACGAAAGTATGCCACGGTTATTTCTGGCCTTCATATTTGCACAAAGATATAAGATACAGTAAGATACAATTTGGTAAGATTTTTGACATATAAACAGTTTTTGATATATAAAATATAACATATGTCAAAAACTGTTTATATGTCAAAAATCTTACCAAATTGTATCTTAATGTATCTTATATCTTTGCGCAAGTGTGAAGGCCAGAAATAACGTGGCATACTTCCGTTTAATTTTAACAATATTTCGGAATGAATTTCTTTCCACGCTTCTTTCAATTTCTTCCATAAGTTTTTTTTTTTTTTTATTTTGGACACATTTTCGATGCCTTCTGTCCAATTCATCCCAAAATATACATCGATTCGATTTTTTAAATATATATATACATATTTTTGATATACCTTGAAATATTTATTCAGAAATNATATATATATATATATATATATATATATATATATATATATATATATATATATACGTTAAATGTCAGTTTTGTTTTCAAGTATTATCATAAAATAGAGTAAATAGAGTACATACAACAAGATTGTATAATAAAATTAATACATCTGTGTTCTAGTAACTGTTTAGATCAAAATAAGCAAGTATCCAGTGACTTATGGGAGTGTACATACATATCTATTTTATCTGTCGTTGTACAGAGTGATTATGTAAAAAAAGAGTTCGTAATTTCTACACCAGATGACGTCTAGAAGACGAAACATACATGGAGGCTCACTCTTTTGAATAAATACACTGCTCAGAAAAATTCTTAATAGGGAATATTTCGAGAAGAAGCATTTAATTCTTTTTCATTAAACTTTTTTTTCTTTTCTCTGACTTGTCGTTTGCTGTTTTGACGCTCCAGTTTAATAAAAAGAAATCATTCGTTTCTTTTTTTCTTTTATCTCTTTTTCTTTTAATTATTCATATTCACTTGGAAGTATCCCCTAATTTTTGTGAGCAGATTTCTTACGAAATTTAATAAGAAACTATAACAATAATTACTTATGTTTAACAAGATTTTATAACGATTTTGCAACGCTTTGCTTTCGATTACCAACTCAGAGTACAAAATATTCTCTGCTTTCTCGTTTTCTTCATTCTTCATTTTAAATCAGCCACTGATAAACTCACGCGTGTTTCAATTGTTCGTAATTAGTCGCTCTGAGGCTGAATTTAAAAAAAAGGGTGCGGTTAAAATTATTCGAGTAAGAAAATTCTCATTCGACGGTTCCAATTTTTGGTTATCGTTGATTAACGTAGATTAGTCGTTCGAGTTGTTAAAAATGCACGAGGATTCCGAAACATCGAAACTTCAATCGATCTGCAAACAAATGGAACACTGATCGAGGTTCGTAGGTCGAAAAAGTTGAAGCTGTCTCGAATTTTCGTACATTGGTCATCCAGCAACTTGCGACTCGGAGCTTTTGACGTCACGTATCTCGTCGGGAGACCGCGGAATTGAACTCGAAGTAAATAGGGTCGTCGGTGGTCTGGCTTTATGACTCGTTGCCCAGTGCCCACCATGAACAACCCGTGAATAACCGCTATGAATGAGCCCGCCTCGCAACGACGGCGGGACGCGCTTCCGGAAATTAGAAAATCGAACGTACTTGTTCCCACGAACGTTCCCGGGCCTGTTTTACGCCTGTTTCCTTGACCTCAAAAGCCAAGAAGTTGCTGTTCGCGCCGGTTCCTCCGCGCACGCAAGACGAGACGAGAACGAAGATGAGGAGCAACAAGAAGCGAAGAACACCGTCTAAATTTACCGTGATCTTCTCCAATTTCGCACGAGCGTGCATCGATCCCGTACATCAACATCGTCGCTTGCAATTAAAAAGATATTTCATTCTTGAAATTTGATTTCTCTTCGTTTTGGCTTCGATCGGAGAAAAAGTTGTTTACACGTTTATAAGAAATCAAATTGTTTGTATGTTTGTGTTATTGTTTATATACGATAAAATGTTATATTACATTATAATAATATTGTATAAAAATATTATAATAATAT